AATGAGTAGTCTATTCACTTCGAGGTGCGGGTGACCTCAATGGACGCGAAGATTGGGGAGAACAGGTTGACTTTGTTAGTCAAATTCGTTGAGCACACAACATTTTGTTCAGCCCTCGAGTTTCTTGTATGGTAGCCAAAACATAGCAAACGTAGACCGTAGGTTCCTGTATACAACATGACCGAACGAGGTATACGAGGGTCTGCTATGCGAAAACATTTTTTGCCTACAAGCCACACTGAAAGCTTGCTGTTAAGTGGGAAACACAGTGGACATCATGAACCAGTGATGTTTAGCTGATGCAAAGGGCTGAAGGTGACGATTACCCTAAGGTACACAGGTTGTAGCCATTCAGATTACGTCGTCGATGTTCCGTCTTGCTGAAATCCACAAAAGTGAGCGACTGCTTCATTATGCAAATGCAGTCACGAGCGTGCGAACTTATGTATGCCTGCTCACCCGACTATGAGTACGGATGTGAAGAAAACATTTATAGAAGTGAAGCAAGCTTCTCTGTGAATTTGTAACCAAGTATATCAAGGTTACGCACACAGTCTGTATGTTCTATTCAGCGTGCAGTTATATTTATTAGTGCTCATAAAGTAAAGACGCTGAACTGATGAAGATCCATATGATCGAAATGTTGGTAGAAACATAGAGATCTTAGCATCAGTTTTGCGTGTTTTGTCTATGAACATCGTTGTGTTCATTCTTGAAACCTTCGAACGGCTAGTCGAACGCTTCCGAATGATTTAAAATTGCCACCGCGTAAAATTCATTCATGAGATTATCACAGTGCTTCTCAAATATTTTTTCAACTGTAGGAATTCGCTTAGAAGTCGCTGTTGAAAGAAGCAATTTACTCTGATACGCTGGCACGTGATCTATATGATGTAGCAAGTTAATTATCACACAAAAAATGTCATAGACTGTTAGAAAAGCTGACCCCATGAATGCATACATTTGGGTAGTGTTATTTTGCAGAATTTCTTCCGTCTTGATCGTCTGAATGCCATGAAGGTTGTGTCTTTGCAGCTATAATCAAGCTTGTTTGTTCTTTCGTATGTCTTGCACACGGTTCATTGAATAAATGATATGATGACGAAGTTAATCATGCTTTCTTCGAGGATTCAGCAAAGGTTCGATCTCGAAACGTTCCACCCAAGTTTTTATGCAGAGTGACGATAGATGGCAACTTTGAATTCCAATAGAATAAGACCCTAACTTACGTCGATTCGTATATTCCTTTTCCCAGAACCTACATTTCAAAGTAATGCTAATTCACTTCGGGCACCTTCCAGAAACTCTCATGAATCTTGATACACAAACGAAATTGATGTTATTGCCTCCAAACCCAACCAGTCTGATTCAACCGCTGGATCAGGATGTGATCTAAACATTTAAGGTTTACTGTACACGATGATCCTTTGCCCATTTGAATGCAGCTATGAAACAAAATAACGTGATGACCGTGAAGGATTTCTGGAAGGCCTTTAATGTGCAATGAAAACCATAGGAAACTCGTCGGCAAAAGTGTGCGGAAGAACCATGAAAAGTGGATTGAAAAAACTTTGTTCGTTCGTATTTAGTCTTGATCACGGGGCCAGAAATTAATTACTTTGTCAATGCAGTGATCGCTTTTGCTTCACAACTTGATTTGAAGGCTGGCGCTGAATATGTCATAGATCCATTAGACTCTCCTATCGAAGAGCTCACACTAGATGGTATTATGCAAATTCATAAATGGTGTCAAGAAAGCTGGAGAGGCTGAACCAAAACAGATCATCACGATGACAATTCGTAGGTTAACTGAAGTCTTTGAACTGACTGAGGCCGGTCTGAAGGTTAAAAAAATCGATTCGAATGAAGACCGAACAGGAACTGATAGAAAAAGCATAAAGAAAGTGATCGCCCGTTAAATAAATTTTATGGGAAAAAATTTTTTTCCGGCCACGGTCCACTGCGGATTTTTTTTAAAAGTTATCCTCTTTCAAATAAAAACCGTTGTGAGTTCATTTTACTTTGATTGATGTGTATTTTTGCAATTTAAACGTTATAATTCGCTCACAACTGTTGCATTTTTATTGATGGAACTGACTGTTGAGAACCGATTATGTCATTTTAGTATAGAATTGCATGAACGTTTATATCTTATCTTAACGTCGTTTCGGCTTAAGTCACCCACTGTGGAACCTTCAACCACGTTAACTTCAAAGAATCACTGTATTCAGCAAATTTAAGCGACTAATATGAACGAATAAAAATTCTAAA